ACTCCCCTCCCCTCAAGGGAAAGAAAATGAGAGCAATGTATGCTAAGCAGCCAAGACAGCCCTCCTCACAACAGCTACAGTAAAGAGCTACCTACGGGAGACATTAAATGTGTTGAAAACATGCTATCAGGAAGAACAACTAAGCTTTGTTTGTAATTGTTGATACCCCCACTTCAGCACCGAAGGCTGATATAGGTCTGGTGTAGCACTACACCAAAATGGACTACTGGAAACTAGCCAGCTAAACTCCTGCCTTCCTGAAATTAAGTCATCTGAATTGCAGACAGAAGAAACGTGATTGAAGAGGAAATTGCTATTAACAATCTGGTGGAAGTTGCATTTTTATTTTATTTTTTTAAACACAGGTCTATTGGCACAGCTCAGCTCAAAACGGAATCCTTTGTTCACATGCGTAATTTGCTCATTTACCATAAACTCAAAGCTCTCAATAGGTCAAATACCTCTCTAATTCCCATTAAGTCAATGGAATTGTACTGGTGATTAATTTGGCCCAATACTGTTCAGCACAGTCTTTTCTATGTGCAAATGTGGAGAGAGGATGCGGATCAGATTTCCTGTCGCATAAGAGGTGACATCTCCAAGTAGTATTTCTATTACTCCCTGGTTTGTATGTTTTTGGGCTATAGCTGGGCTAGATTTAAAAAAAAAAAAAAAAAATGCTAATCTTAGCCAAAAAATATATTCACAGAAATGACTACAGGTCCATCAGAGTGGCCAGAATGAAATAGATTGCTGGTCCCTCTCCTCTGGCATCCTGCATCTGGCAGTGGCCATGCTAGATCATTCAAAAGAAAAATACGAAAAAAATGAGTGTAAAATGTTTCTGTCTCAAAATTGGGAGAATGTAAAGACATTAAATCAAAATAGTTATTGCTATAGAACTGGCTAGAGTTTTCAGATCAGTGCAAGACACATTGCATAAAAACTTTTCAGGTAGCCTGTAACTTTAAAAACAAGTAGTCCCGATGCACCTGAGCTGGATCTGAAGATGTGAGTTTTGCCCACGATAGCTGATGATAGTATATATATTTCTGTTAGGGTATGTCTACATTAGCCCCCTAGTTCGAACTAGGGTGTCTAAAGTAGGCATTGGAACTTGGAAATGAAGCCTGGGATTTAAATATCCCGGGCTTCATTTGCATGTCCTGTCCAGCCGCTGTTTTTAAATCCTCTTTAGTTTGAACGAACTGCCCGCGGCTACATGTGGCAGTTTAAAGTTACTAAGGACTTAGTTCGGATTAACTTTAAACTGCCGCATGTAGCCGCGGGCAGTTCGTTCGAAATAAGGGGGATTTAAAAATGGCAACCGGATAGGAACTTGCAAATAAAGCCCGGAATATTTAAATTCCGGGCTTCAGTTGCAACTCTGGTTGCCTGATTTGCCTACCTAGCTCGAATTAACAAGCTAATGTAGACATACCCTCAGTCTCCAAGGTGCATCAAGACAACTCTCTATCATCAGACAAGCTCACAGTATAATAATGGACTCCAGCACAGAGCGCCTAGTTAAACTGACTGTAATTTGAGTAAAAGGGAAAATTAGATTCTACAGGAGGAGACACTACATGATGCTACACTAGATGCTATAGGAGGGAAGAGGACATTATTCTAGCAATACTGAACAGAGTACTGATATACTCTAAAACTACCTCTTTGAACAGCAGGCATCCTGGGGACATGATAAGCGTAGGCACTGAGAAGTGATGCTTATTTGACACAGACAGAGGAAATCAAGTGCTAGTGCTTAGTTGCTGGCAATGCTGAGCAGTAACAAGCTAGTGCTGGACAGCTTTGCCTTCATCATCTACAAAGGCAGAGTAGTCTATATGGCAGCCACTTTGAGCTACAATAAAGATAAAGTAAATACAGAACAAGAACATTAATCCCCTCCCCCACAGGCCACAGGCATTTTAATAATGAAATATACCAATTCTGTACAGAGATAGCTGCTTACATCCTCCACCTCTTCTTTGGGTTCTCGTCGGGCAACGATCACTTCAGATTTCACTCTAGGAGACCAGGAGAAATCAAACAAAGCAGAAAATAACATGTTAGAATCTGTCCAGGAACAGCTGCCAACTCATCCTTCCGAGAACTATACACTAAAGACTGGAAGTATAAAATATATGTACCAAACCTCTTTCCTACTGTGACTGATATAAACAAGCCACTACTGATTTGGACAATCTTACTCATGCTGAGTAGTACCTTACTCCGTGACGAGTTCCACTGAAATCAATGGGACTATGTGTAAGCCAGGGACCCACTGACTTCTGCAGGTTCCATTCATGATTCCTCCTAAGAAATGTTGAAATTATGGCCAGAAGTGTCATGCATGATGTTTGTACAACTGGGCATTATTCCAATGCACTATGTGAACATCTCACACCAAGTGTAAGATACTTACCTCAAAGTAGTCACTACTTTAGACATAACATTTAGCATTTGGTTATAAAGGGGTCTTATAAAACATCACATGAATAGCAATGTTTTCATTTCACGCTAGGTTTGCAACCCTAACACTGAAGTGAGTGAAACTAACCAAAGATGTATGAAACCAACTAGCCCAATGTCATCACTGCACAAGCCAACTGTTGAACAAAAACCAAAAATCCAATATAAATAATAAAGACGGTAGCAGTTTTTTTAGAAGTATGGCAGTTTTAATATCCTAAAGTAGGTGTTTTCGAAGCTGGGTCATGGGCCCGCCTGGGCAAGCCGCTAACAGGCCGGGAGAAGCTTTGTCTATGGATGCTTAGATAAATGCAGAGCCTTGCAGCTCCCATTGGCTGCAATTCACGATTTCCAGCCAAGGGAATAGGAGCTTCAAGACTCCGTGCCTGGGGACAGTGAGATAAAGTGTCTTGTGGCCCACCAACAGCTTATCCAGGCGGGCCTGCAACCCAACTTTGAAAAACCCTGACCTAAAAGACTGCTAATAAGACACGGAAATAAATTTATTTATCCTGACAATGTCCCTTTAAAACAATGAGCTCCACAAGATATAAGCATAAGCAAGTCTACAATCTATGGGTACGTCTAGACTACAGGCTTTTGTCGACAGAAGTTTTGTCGACAGATACTGTCGACAAAGCTTCTGTCGACAAAGAGCGTCTAGACTACATCCAGTTCTGTCGACAAAGCAAGCTGCTTTGTAGACAAAACCCTGTAGTCTAGACACAACCCTAAAAGCTATAACACCTTCTGTCGACAGAACTCTGTCGACAAAAGGTGTTATGCCTTGTAAAATGAGGTTTACCAGCATCAACAAAACTGCTGAGTTCTGTCGACATTATGTCGACAGAACTCAGCAGTAGTGTAGACGCAGGTATAGTTTTGTCAACAAAAGTCCACTTTTGTTGACAAAACTCTGTAGTCTAGACACACCCTATATTTGGTAATCAATTCCCATCTGAGAGAAGCAAAGAGGTGTGCAACATGCCCTGAGAAATGAGAATTGTTTTTTACCTAGCCAAAGCTAGGAAACAAGGCTACATTATACAGCCATTGGGTTTTGCTTAAAATAAAGTTTCTCTCCTAATATTATACAAATATACGCTCTTCGGATGACATTCTCACTCTTTTCCCATATCAGTGATACTGGAAGTGCACCAATTTGGTAGGGCTACTGTAATTTCAGACTAATCACTCTAAGGATACCAGTGACTTTTCTTAGTAAAATACATTTCTCTGCAACCTCTGACATTCCAACAGCCCTGATGTAACTTTCAAGCCACAAGGTCCAAGATTTCAGTCATTCCTGATCTACAATAGTAGACCAGTCAATTTCCATTCCACAGTGACAGTTTATATACAAACATGCACTGTTCTTAACCAGGACAAATATACTGAACTGTTCATAAAAAAATTCACTGCTCAACAAAATACCAACCGATGTTTAAGTGATCATACCATGTTCCTTGACTTCCCATTTTAAGCAAAGGGTGCTTCAATACAGTGAAAAGGGGGGGGGGGGGGGAGGGCAGGCTGAAAAGATTTTAATAAAATGTTTAATGTATTTTTAGGAGAGCTTTAGTTTAAAATATCCATAAGACCAACAGTGAAGTTCATGCCTACTTGAATTATATGACATCTTACTTAATGAAAAGACAACGGATTTTTTTCAAGTCATCTTGGACAATAAACTAGTCGGTATCGCTTCTGTTACTAAACTGGTTCTTATCGTTAGGTGGCGGGGGGGGGAGGTACTTTCCCAGGCCACACCACAAATAAGCTCCACCCATGAACCACCAAAATGAAATGACACTCACAACGGATTATGCAAATGTTCAAATATGAATGTGCAGCTCTGAGCTCCATCGGACTCCTTGTGCTTGATTCGCCCCATAGGGACTGCAGTACGATTATAGGCTCCTGGGAGTTGGCTGCCACTTCATTGGGGGAAAATAGTAAGTGGTGATATCACCTAAATGCCACTCACTTATGGCACCAAAATGAGAGGTCACTCACAGTTAGCTCTGCAGATCCATGACTCTCCATCTCACTCTGAGCAGGAGGGAGTAAACAATATTGACATTTATAGTTACTCATCTGAAATAACCCTCTAATGAAATGAATGGGGCAGTTCAGCCTTCTGAGAGATCTTATTCCAGGCTCTTGGCATTCTCACATCTCTGCTGTAGTTGCACTCAGGACATGGTTCTGAAGTTTTCTTCTGAACCATAGCAGCTAGTAATTCACTTTGTAAGTAAAGGATGAGATTCTAGAGAACAAGACAGTCGTTTCAAAAAGGTGCCGGCATAGGATAAGGGCACATGCCAATTGTGTTCAAGCCCTGAAATAGTGGGTTGTAATCACTGCTGGGAAATGTTAACATCTGACAAAAAAGTTCTCATGCAATTAAAAAAACCAAGCAATCAATAAAATGTTTATTTTTACTTAAAAATCAAGAAAATCAATTTTCATATGTAAGCCACGAGGTGCCCTTGAATTCCAATCATAAATTGCGTGAGGGAAAAGAATTAAGCTGATAGCAAAGCCATATGAATCAGTGAGGGGTTTTTTTGGTGGCCTTTTTTTCCCTACCAATCAAAAATCAGGAAACTCTTTGTGGCAGTGTGTGCAGCACTCACCTTTTAAGCTCCTCCTCCAGTTCCTTGACTCTGTTCTCCATCTTGGCTTTGGCCTGCTTTGTTGCTTCCAACTCTCCCTTCAGTACCTCCTGTTCCCCAGACAGCTGGTCCACCTTAGCAATCAAATCATTCTTCACAACGTTCAAAGCATTTCTTTAAAGCAGGGAAAGGAATGGTAAAGACAGATGCAATCAGAACAGAAACTAACTCCTGTAGGCAGCTGAGAAAAAAAATGACACATTCCACAAAGGCATTCAGTGTGGTGGAAATGCAAAGAAAAGTAGTGTGATTTGGTGGGAGGGAGCAGACAGAACATAAGAATTGACAGACTATATAAGACTATCTAGTCTGGAAACCCATCTTAATTGGCCAGTACCAGATTATTTAGGGAAACATGTGAACACACCACAAAAAGCAGACATGGTATAATCTGCTTCCCACCCCGCCCATGTTAGGTCTCATCTTGATCACTAATAAAGTTTGGCTTAAACTCCACAGCATGAGCTTTAATATCCTGTCCACAATTTTTTGGTATCATTCATTACAATAGCTGTGGATATTCTTGATGGCAATTTAATCCCTTTTTAAATATTGCTACATTTTTGCCTCAACGATTTTAGCCTCAACAATTTCATGTGGTGGTGAGTTCCACATCTGTGTGCTATTTTAAAAAGTATTTTCTTTCGTTAGCTCTGAATTTCCCTCCTTTCAGTGTCTTTAACGGTCTTTGCTCTGGTGTTATGAAACAGAAAGAAGTTTCCACTCAACCTTCTTGATACTACTCATGGTGTTATATATTTGTCTCACATCCCCTCTAACTGATCTCCTTTCTAAGGTAACAATCCCAACATTTTCACTCTCTTTTTATGAGATTTTTCCCCAAGACCCTTTGTCATTCCCTTCCATTTTGCTAAACCCCCTTTAATCCTGTAGCATTCATACCTTATTTGTTTCCCTCCAAAGGATGTTTCTTTGCATTTACTAATGCTGAATTCAGCTGTCATCATGCTACCTAGCTTATTCAGGACTCTCACAGTTTCTCACAGTTCTCTCTGGTCCGACTAACTTAAACATCTGCAAAATTTCACTACTCATCTCCATTTCCAGATCACAAATATACTAAACAACAAAGAAGATAGTACAGAGCCCTGTGGCACCCAAGTGTTAGCATTGTGGAAAAAAGGTATCTCACTATTTGTTTCCTGTCTTCTAGCAAGTTTTTGATCCATGACAATACATTGCCTCTTACCCCATGACAACTCCGTTTTTAACAATCTTGTCATGCAGGATCTTGCTGACAAGCTTTCTGAAGTCTAAATAAATCATTTCAACTGGTTCTCTTTTATCCACTGCTTTGCTGAGACATTCAAAGAATGCTAAGACCTTAGCGAGTTGTGATTTTCCTTTGCAGAAGGTAAACATTGCAGTGAAGTGTACACAACATTATCTTTTCCTAATGGTCACCTATGTCTCCCTCCAGCTGCCAATGAAGTTAATAAAAACCCTGCCACTGACTTCAAGAATGGTAAGGCCCTGCATGTACATGTGTGTGGAAAGTTCAGTCAACTGACTGTACAAAAGAAACATGCATACGAAAGCCTCTCAAACATGACTTGAGGAAGAGTAGCTTTAAGGAGCCAGCACCATCAAAGAATGGTTGCCAAACCAGATACCAACATGTCTTGGTGAGGTAAGAGTTCTGACACAGATATGTTCCAAGATGACAGGATGCATATAAAACAGCTAAGCAGTTCAGAACATGCAAGGGTTTCTTACTTGGTCTCCAGAAGTTGTGAGTTCTCCAACAGCAGGTTCCCCACTTCTTTGCCCATTCCTGAAAAAAGAGGCCCGGCAGTTTTGATCCTCACCTCCAGAAAGACAGAGCCTTATTCTGTGCTAACTGATTATGCTTAGGAGAAGAAACAGCTTTTGTCAGTCAGCCTTACAGCTGTGTATCATGTGCAGTGTCCCTCCTGC